TCAGCTCATGTAATCTAACTGCAGAAAAATCAAAATCCTTGGTGGGATTACAAATCCTTACCTGGATGCAGTATACAGCCTCATCCGCTTGTTATGAGATTGCTCGGTTAGCTGTGATCATTTGCCATCTTATAACCGTTGCTCAGTTTTGCTCAGAATATATTGGTACCGATTCACCATTGAGTTAGCTCGGGAATATGACCTCACTTGTAAGTGAGAATGTGTCCAAAAATAGCTTGTTGTACAGAATTACGCACCAGTGCTAGCCTTTCCACAAATCTGACTGATTATATAAGGCTTCTCATATAAACATAGGATACCGGATAATAGAATTCAACCTGTTCATGTTTTTTCTTTGACTCGGTATTTGTTTTCCAAAGCCATGCGAACTTGTCTCTAAGTGCCCCAAGGTTTTGACGGGTGGAGTCACCTCTTCAACAAACTCTGATTCAGTCAAAGCACATGGGTTTCTCTACGATTCAATCGGTTTAAACTTTGTGTGCCTTTTCTTTGATTACCGTTCGTCACACGTAATTTATTTCCTTAGGTAAGTGCGAAATAGTGTATAACAATGTTTTTTCATCTAAGAGGGCTTTGAAATAAATGGCACGATGTGACGCCGAATAGAAAGCTTTAGGCATTTTCTGTTATGTGAGAAGGTTAAGCAAGGCAGCAGTGATATCCTTCAATTGAGGGACCACAGATCGCCAGGAGGGTACTTAAGGATTTAGTAGTAACATAAAGTTGATATGCTAACTTTAAAGTTCGGTGTCAGTGCGAAACAACCGAAGTACAGATACCTAAAGCAAACAGACGGAACGACTGACAGTGAGTGACTTTTGCACCTGAAACAGATATCTCTTCCTAAACATAAGAAGCACTGTCCTCATCGATAACGGTTTGAGTGCTAATATTTTTCTAAGAGTACTATATAGCATTCAACAAACAAAATAAAAAGGAAACAGAAAAATTCATACGAAGGAATGGAGAGGCAGATCACGCTGTACACCCAAAACGCGTGATTGTGTGCACATGTTGCCTCTTTCTTTTTTGTCATAAATAACACGTAATTAGTATGTTAAGTTCTCGATCCAAATCTTTGCGGATTATTAAAATATTTATTCAGTCACCTGAATCACATTTTTAAGTTCTCGGAAGTGCTGCTGGAATCAGTCATTTTTTAATGTACCATTCATGAAAAATTCCCATCTTAGTGTGGCAAGAAAACTCATTGGTTTTAGCAAACAAACCCATTGTCGAAAGCTTCTTGGAACCAATAAAATTTTATAAAAAATCTCCTTTCGCTTCCTTTTTTATTTACTGAATATACAAATGTACAGTCAACTTTAAAATTAAAATTAAAATTAAAACCTGCCTCAGTGTCTGTGTGATTCGTTATTTGTGGTTGTTTTTGATGAGTGGTTGGGACTGGGCAGAGGTGTTCGTAATGCGGTTGGGAAAATGATCAGAATGTGGCCTTATCATCACGTGTTCGTGGCGCGAGATCATGTTAAAGGTCATGTCGATCTCGGGGGTAAGTGTCACCTTGTGCTAGGTTGAGTGATTATACGAATCCCTTTCAGATAACCTCGCGACCCAAACACGTAATGAAATGTCCACATTCTAATCGGTTTCCCAACCGCGTTACGAACACCTCTACCCAGTCCCAACCACATTTCAAAAACCATCCACAAATAACGAATCCCACAAAGACCTTGAAGCAGGTTTTAATTTTGATTTGACTATATAATTTTATTAGCCCTGAAAAGTTATCGAAAGCGAGCTTATTTGCTAGAACCACTGTGTTTATCAATTCATTCGATTCTCAGTGGATTCAAAACCACTATTTTGGGATTGCAAATGGTTAGATACCTAAATAAACATTGATATTTTTTCACGGTCAATGAATATGAGCTTTTGTCAGGTAATCCCTTTATAACTATGCCGTCATCAGCAGCATAACATTTGGTTCTCATTCCGTTTGTAGTCTGGAGGGGTGGGGGGAGGTGCAGGAGATTTTATAAGTGCACCCGTATCTATTGGGTTTCATTTTCTTTATTGGTGCATTGGATTTTGGTACTAATGGAATCCTTGATTTCCGGTAATAAAATATCCTCATCAATCGTCTGAAACGCTCAAGCTGCCATTGGTCATGCGGCGGTGAAGCTGAGTTATTGGCAGTGAAATGTTTGAATCAGTCGCCTCATTGCGTTTGAAAATAAGCTTCTAGCTCTACGGTTATTCACGGATTTACAGACACGTTTTGGTTCAGTAATTGTTCTCAAATGGAGAATAAAACATTTATCAAGTGGTAAAACTGATATGAAACAACAAGTTTGTGGATACTGTACATTCTTTGAAGTCCTGTTTGACACCAACAGTGCAACGAATACATCGAGAATCCAAATCGGAATATCACAGGCAGAACGAAAGTAAATTACACATTTAATTAGGTCGGTTAACCCATTCTGTCAGATAATGGAACGCAGTTGTTTTCGGACTTTTAGTGTAAGTATATCATCTTTCTACCAAAGTGGTCCCGGTCATTGGAGCCAAAGACGCAAACAGAAGCTATGAGATCTAAGTGCTTCTCTGTTTTCCAGCGAAGTTGTTTTTATTTTTCACTTGAGGAATAGTGGTCTACTGGGTTGACTTTTGATCAACATAATGCTCATTTTTGCATTTACCAACATCTGTATATGACGCTTGGCCTAAAATCTACCCGGCTCTTGCTTATACAAACTGTCCACACAGTTTGTTTTGGTGTTTGAGGTCACAGTGGTGCACAAGTGTCGTTGATTAGCTTCATCGGATTCTCTTCGCTTGTCCTAGTTATTCCAGTCTCCCCACACACAGACGCATAGAAAACAAGCATATCGGGCGCCGTTCTGCGTACCGAGTGTATATGTGATGCATATATGCATATATGATAGATATATGATGACCTGTGACCCCGAGGTGATGGTTGACAGAAATGGCATCTTTGTGCTGATGATTGACCTCAGAAAAAACGAGGTTTTTTCTGGGTGACAAATGTCCAATGTTGACGGATACACTGGTCTGGGTAAACAGTTATACATGGCATCATTTATATGCGTCGTTCAATAAAAAGATGGTGGGGAGGAAAGCAGAGTGAATTGTCCAGTATGATGGCTCCCTTGAGATTATTTATCCCTCCTATGGTTCGAGAGATATTATCTGGGAGATTTCAATAATATAAAATTTTACTCACCAAGTTGATCAGGAAAAATGAAAAAAGGGGAATGTTGTTCGGATTAGAGGCGTGACCAACAGTAAAACGGCATTCAACAGCTATAAATATTCCAAGTGTTTACAGGTAACGGGTTTTCGCGAGGACTGGGAGAGACCAAAGGCCAATTGCTTAAAAGCACTGCCCTACTTTCAGTTGTGCGTCTAGCTTGGAAAACTTCCGTTTATTCATTCATCTTTGTGTCATTGCTATCAGTAGTTCCTAGAAGAAAATAATCGGAGTGTAAAAGACCCAAGTCCAAATCTTGGTTTTACCAATACAAATACGATCAAAGTGAAAACTTATGCTTGACTTTGATGAATTATCGGGTAGGTTGAACCCAGCTGTGGTGCACGAACACATTGGCACAGCATCTCCTCCAATCCGTGCACATTTGTATGCTGTATATACTGACTGCTGTAGGAACGACCATGATATTTTCTAATGAGTTCGGTCAACAGCTTTACCTGTTTCTCAGGTGGGATGACAGATACAGAACAACTTATTGATTGTTTTAAGGATGATGATTACAAATGCAACAAGTTATTTTGTAATTAAATGTTGCAGTTCGAGTTGTGCATACCGGGAAAACACAGACATGCTCGCATATACGCACGTACATATAGATCAACCAAATGACCTATACGATGTAATGCCAGATATTGGTTATTCTGGAATGTAATGCCGTAGCAGCAACGGAAAGTCTCCTGGATTATTATGTAATTAAACTGTCAAACGTGCAGGAAACATGGTTCCCACTGTGGCTGTTTCAAACATGAAGTAGATCTATAGAGTAGATTGAATAGGAAGATGTTTTTGGAATTCGTAGTTATAATTAGAGAACGGATACAAGGGACAAGCCCATATGATTTTGTGCTAATTTGATAAATATCGCAACAATGAGAATGCAATCACGGAATAACTGTGTGAAGTGAACCTGAAATACATACAAGCAAACAGGGAGGGAGTAGTTGTGTGTCTATGTTTGCGCACGCGGATAGAACCAATGTGAAATAATGCAAGTAGCATCAAGTGACGGGCTCGAACAGTCGCCAAGGCCATGACTGACGATAGCTGCTCTGGCCTAGGGACAGGCAGACCATAGTAAATTGACCGATCGGTTTCTACGAACATAAATGTAATGATTCAACTTGCGGAAGTGCATCAACTCAAGTATTATCGAAATGACTAAGATCATTGGAAAAATATTACATAGTTTGGAAAAAGTTACGTGATCTAATAACTGTTTGGCTGTTGAAGGACTGAGAGTCAGTTCCGATCATTAAAATCCTTAAAAACTTAAACACCCATGGTGCCAACTACCTCTTTTGAAGTTAAGCAGTCAAATTTCTCGTCAGTTGCATTTCATTCCCACTGAGTTGCTCCACTTTATCAGCTATCGGATGAAACGAGTAATACACACATGACCAATCTAGTCAAGGAAAACCAAGGCTAGAATTTAGTACACAGAAAAACGTTATTAAATGCAGTTCACAGTTAGCTTCGAACGAATAATTGCGTCACTGTTAGAGCGACTACTACGCAGAACACACTCGTCATGTGTCCTCAGTTCAAATAATGCAGCATTCTACAAAGTGTATTTTAAGACAACCGTGAGTCACTTTATACCGAGTGGGTTTTTATTTGATTTCGATTACAGTCAGTCACTGAATAATTCAGATATCAGCATTTCGAGTTTCTGTTGTTCTAAGACTATGTGCTGTTGTCACTTTCATTGGATGTTCTCCGCATGCGTCCTGAATGTTTCCCTGACGAAGGATTTACCGGCGCCAGCTGCGAATTCCGACAAAACACAATCAATAGAACAGATATCACGGAGACAAAATTTGGCAGTTCACAAATCGATATCCTTACCCCTGAGCCGTTTCCTAATTCGGATCTGTGTGACCGAGTCGACTGCACATTCCACCCCAGATACACCGATCGTATCTGTCGGGCTGACTGTGTCCTCAAAGGTTGTCTAGGTTTGGACGGACTGCGAGATTGCCCACACTGGCAAGCCTGTCTTGCAGCTTCCACAACCCGAGCAGCTACATCTATACAGGACTCTTGTCTGGGCACATTTCAAAATGGACAATGTGACCCAACATGCAATGTGCCCGAATGTTATTACGATGGACTGGATTGCGTAGGCACAAGGTAAGTGAACTCAAACAAAACTGATCTAGTTTTCACCAGTAAACATTGTGTGGGCTGCATCACTAATGGCGCTTATAATAATAATACCAATAATAAAATAGTAATAATAATAATGGCAACACTGAATAAGTAGGGTTCGTATTTAATTAAGTAAATGGTATAGAAAGCCTTGAGGAGGGGAGTTTTCCCGGACTTTGAACTGCTTGCGGCGGAATTGTAAAAGTTAGCAGTTCATTGAGAATTTACGGTGGCGTTTATTTTTTACTGCAGAATGGTGGCTCCTTGTCCATTTTGAGTTACATTCGAAAATGGTTAGGACCATTTATACCACTCAGCCTCACTCTTGACGGTATAGGGACAAAACGGTGTAAGTATTTTGGAATCTTTCCAATTCATGCGCAAAAACCGGAGGTTGGTGCTGAGATGAGGAGTGCTGTTGAATTGTATTTTCTTGTGCATGAATAAATTGAAACAGTTTACTCCACGTCTTCGTTAGTAGTAGTATAAGTAACTTCTGTCTGTGAAGTCTGCAGTTCACTCCTTAGATCTGTGAAATCGATTTGACAGTGAAACAGGTGTGTTAAACTTTATACATGCCCTATCTTTTGCTCCGTAAACTTTGTGATACGGTAAACTTTTCATTGGAAACAACTTCTTTGGTAACTAGATGTCGTTATAAACTGATGTATGTTCACACCACTGCCTATCGTTCGTCCTTCATACCCTAATTTTTGAGATTTCTGGCTCAAAAGGCATCCGTTAGAGGAAACCTTTTGAATTTCCTACGCAATTAATATTCATTTTCAAACTTTTACTCCATATTCCTTTTAATTGACCATGCTGTTTTTTCACATTTTTGCGATTGTATGCGGTGAAATGTTCCTGGAATGTAAGAAGTCAATAATCCATCCATTAGGATGAATAAAGCGATTTTTGACTTTACTTTACTTGACTTCTTGTATCAAAATTATTGCTTCATGTTTCTTTGTTTGAGGTAGAGCAATAAGCAACAAGATGTTCACACTAACTTCCGTGGAAACTGTCTACCAGTCTAATGGTTGATTATGATAAGTTATGAAACAAATCATTAAATACGGGTGGTGCGGATGATGAGTGATTTATAGATTTGAATAAGTGAAAATATATAAGAATTCAGGGTTCATAAACGATTGAAAGAGTCCTTGAGTCGTGAATAAGTTCCCTGAGTAGTATACTTCTACCTGCTCACCTTGAACATTCTTACACCAGCAAATTTTGCATACATGCAGATATGACCCATTTTGACCAAGTTTTTCCGTTTTTGGCGCCCAAACATTTTCCGATGATCTTTCCTTTTGTAAAAAAGGAATCAGTTAGATGGACATTGCCTGAAAATGTATCGATCGTCTGCTGCACGCAAACAGTGCAAGCGTGAAGACCCGGCTGGTTTTAGACCTAGTCCAATCTGTATAGACCACATTTTTACCCGTTCTCAAGTTTTAGAACACACACTCCTCCCGTATACCCACCATTTCTATCTTCCTCGATCTGGAAGCGGTCTACAACTCAGTTGACCGCTCTAAACTCTGGTGCTACCTCTCCCTGAATGGTGCGCCCCAGAAGCTTATTTCAAATTCGAGATACCTTTAAACTTCCAACCAAAGCCGAATCGGAGCTTACGACAACTTTTCACCCGAGTTCGTTAGACTTGCCCTCGCTCTTTTTTGCTTTAATATTCTTATCAATTTGACCATGGAAAAAGCCCTGTCCTCTTGCTAGCATAGCGATTTCGATATACTCGCAGATGGCACACTATTTTATCTAGAGAATATAGACGATAGAGCGCTGCTAAGTTTGTTCTACGGTAGCCCTGACCGATACGCATTTTGTGCCTTCATAGTGTAAACGTTTGCTACAATATTGGGGTGATCCAGCCGCCAGACTCACTTGGACGGGAGAATCAGTAGACGAAGTAGACAAATTGTCTTATTTCAAAAGCTACAGTTTACCCGGCGGACGCGTCACAAATAAACCTGCCTGTAAAGGTTCGAGTGTAACTTCATCAGTTCGACCGTTTCTACTACATAGGACAGAGAATCGACTATTAAGAAAACAGGATGAAAATAGCTTGTCGGTGCTTGAACACTGCTGTATAGGCCACATCGCACGAGTCTGGCATGGAAACTGGACAAACAATGCTGAGGTTAGACAGAGTTCTAGGTGATCGCGGTCGCCCACTGGCGCAAGTGGTCGACCTCCATAGAGTAAGCTGGTTGGTACATGTAGTGTTCATGTCATCAAAGAGGTTGTCACGGTGCACGATATTTGCCGTGGCAGGTAGGGAATGGAAAAAGCCGAGGGCGGTCAAAATATGACCTGGCACTGGGTTATGCAAACCCTGAACGAGAGAGTCGGTTTTAAAACTGACTGAAACCGAATAAAACTATCGAAGTAGTCGGTTCACCCCTGGCTGATAAACGAAACGGATACATAGGCACCAAAATACTTTAATCTTTTGGATTAGAGAACATCTGAAGTGGTGGTGTTCTGATTTCGTGACAAGGTGCTCCGCATTAGCTGCAATGATATGGTTTCTGCTGTCCGTTGTCGAATCCAAACTTTCGGAGGCTGAATTGTGTCTCGTAATCAGGCCATTAACTCAGGAATTCACATACCACTCGTTTTCAGCTTTTACTGATTCGGCGACCCCTCTCATCCGAGTTGGGTGCAACAGGCGGTTTCCTCAACAAATGGCGGAGCTAAAGAGCATGTATATATAATTCGGGTTTTCAGTATCTGTGTGAAATTCAGTCACAGAGCTAAAAAGAAAAAAAAGGAAAAGAAAAGGAAAACTGACGGTTATCTAAATCAATCGAAGTGCTTCAATGAACTGTAAACAGCAGTGTTCAATGATTTTCATTCTGTGAAGCGAGAGTGAAAGAACGATCACAGTTCTCACCCCCGCGACCGTTTAGTCGCTTCTGTTGGCTCAACGTCTGCTACACGTGAGAGAATTTAACATGCTCTTATAAAAGCATAGAAAGTCAGTAGCACATTTGATGCACGAAAGTTAGATTGAAACAATCAATTGCAGTCCTCAATCACATTTGTGAGATACTAGGCACAAAACTGGGAATTGAACTTGACAAAGACGTAGGTTTTATTTGAATGCAGCATGCATTCGGTCACCAGTTTCAGCTTTAGCTTTTACAACCATTAAAATGCGCTTTCATGCACCACTCTTGGTTTCAGTCTTTTGACTGCCTACTTCGACAAAAGAGTAGAATCAAGACTGGAATGTTGACAGCTGGGTCAAAGAGAAGGTAGACTATTTATAAAGACTTAGGTAGCAAGAATAATGAATAATTGACATAACGCAACTCTTTTTCGACACTTAGTCATGTCACTCAATGTATCTAACCACTGACAACCATAATTTCAGAGTCCCTATCTAGGGAGCCTAACGTGACCTTTCTCACCGAGTCTCCTGCGTATGTTTTGCATAATCCAGTGCCAGGTCATATTTTGACCGCCCTCGGCTTTTTCCATTCCCTACCTGCCACGGCAAATATCGTGCACCGTGACAACCTCTTTGATGACATGAACACTACATGTACCAACCAGCTTACTCTATGGAGGTCGACCACTTGCGCCAGTGGGCGACCGCGATCACCTAGAACTCTGTCTAACCTCAGCATTGTTTGTCCAGTTTCCATGCCAGACTCGTGCGATGTGGCCTATACAGCAGTGTTCAAGCACCGACAAGCTATTTTCATCCTGTTTTCTTAATAGTCGATTCTCTGTCCTATGTAGTAGAAACGGTCGAACTGATGAAGTTACACTCGAACTTTCATAGACAAATATGCCCCAACTCATCCTTATGTAACTGTTGATCCGTACTGAGTCGTTGAGGTGGACAGCACAAAGTCCGCTACTTACTGGAATCCCGTCGAAAAGTGATAGCTCAGCGTTAACAGTTTGCTAAATCCCAACATCGGCAAAACCGTGAAATTCGAATGCCAAATCGCTTTATACACCGGGACTAAAGCGTGAGGATGAGGCCAAATTTAGAGATCGCATGGTGACAATTGTAGCGTTGCTTTGTATGCGTGTTTCAGAGGCACAACTAACATCTAAATTGGAATTTTCATTGTTCTAGGTACAGCCTCTTGTTGACCTTTCTTATAGAGTGCGTTAAGNTGCGTTAAGTGTGAAGAAGACTTTTGTTTCGATATTCAGGTAGCTTCTGGTTGGAGGACCTCACTAGTTGAACGCTGAGTGATATTCCATGGGTGGCGCAAACAGGAGGCATTTCCTAATATTTGGGAGTGAAAGGAAGAATTTGACAGAGGAGTAGAGGGTTTTCCAAATGTGTATCCAAGCCCCTGGTGTACAGCATACCTTAAGTAACCCACGCCGACGAAGGGGCTTTTGTTAAGAACCCTGATCGGAAACGTTGACTTGATACTCTCACCAACAAGGCGGCCGGAATTTATGGGTTTTTCTTTGGGAACCCTATACTGAGCCTTCGACTCACAGGTCTGCCCCACAAGGCATTTCGAGGTAGATCCAACGCGGGAGAGCGTCCAAAGCACCCGTGTGGGAGCTTGAAGGGACGTGTCATGCAAGGCCATTGGGTTTCGATTAAGTTTGTGTTTGTTGTTGCGTTGGGTGACGGTTCTCTATTCGCCATCGACCCTTAGGATCATGCACGCAATAAGACAGGCGAAACGTGAACGGGACTGCACAGATACCACACTCCTATGGCCATCTTGCAGGGCGTTTTACTGGTAAACTATCGCTTCTCGTGTTTATTCGCTAGAGAGCCCATTCTAGGGTAGAGAGTGGATTATCTAAGGAAGCCAGGAGGTACCCAAACAGCTAATCTTTTGAGACTGAGCTTTTTCTGGCCTGAATCTTTTAGCCATCCAAGCATGACCGGATGTGCCATTGTGAGAAACCATCCTGTGCAAGTCACTTGGTCATGGAGGTGCGTGAACTATCATACTTCGTAAAAGTGCAGCCTCGTTGTGATGAGTTTTAATTTTATAGATCAGATATAAAATTTCTATTGGTAACGAGACTGACAAAATTCCAGTCTGTGATGGGTGGTGCAAAACCGGCAGTATCTGGGGTAGCATTATTTCATGACTCATTAGATAAGTGCCTCCCTGAATCCTAAGATGAAGGAAACTCTTGTTTTCAGAAACTCAGATATGTATATTTCTTCTGTGTACAAGTTCGCTCATTTTCCCGAGGTTGTTTGTCCAAGTGTAATCAGTTTCTCTTAAAAGCATTCTAAATTGTCACATGGGATCATACATCACTATTGTTTAGCATTTTCTTACAGCGATTTGGCATAAACAGTGTACATCCAAGAGAATACAAAACGACGCTAAATATCTTGACCTTTGACAGTGCACATTAGTGATGATCCCCCCCCCCCTCCACCGGAGGTTCCCAATCCAGCTTGCTTCTTAGGTTCAGGATGTTTCAATGCCGATATATCAGCATTTATTGGAAAGCTTAATCTGCACAGTGCTGTTATTTTCTAATCCAGTGAAAAGACAATGTAGGAAACCAATAGAAAGTGTTCTGAACCTCATGAGACCAAATGCGTTCGCGAAAGTCCCCAGAAATCCAGAGTTCCATGAACTGACAATTTTCTGTCGTTTCCGCTGAAGTAGATTATTTTCTCAATTCTCCTGATTTTCGTTATATTGCCTGATTTACCGAATTCGCAGAATTTTCAATTTACAAATTTGGCTTTCCTTTGAACAGTATTACAACTGTGAATGAGATAGAAGACAAGATGCAAGACGAAGCAAGCAGCCCTTAATTTCTGAAAAATCTTTCCAATTGATTGATGCGATTTTAATCGTTTTAAAAATGAAAAAGAAGTAGAAGAATTATATGCGAAAAGCAGATGAATTTTGATTTTTGAAGATAGAAAGGTCATCTTAAATCTTGGGTGTGATAGTTCATCGGTAGGAACTTCGGAAGAGACCAAAAATGGATTTGTTCGTCTGGAAGCCAGTTGATGAAAAAGGTGATTATACAGCTCGTCAGGCGCTAAGCGATTCGGTAAACCGGGGTGCAGTATTAGTGGCAGTAGCGGGGGAGGGGGTCAGGTGCTTTGTTAAAACCATGAAAAGTACTGTATATCCTCTGGAATCAGACACGTTTTGCGAAGGCGGTTAGAACACGTTGCTATGGGATCACTGTTCTTCCAAAATGTAACGGTCATCTGTGTTAGACAGTGACATAAAGTCAGGGTCATCTGTTACTCACTGGTTTGTCTTTGGATTTGTTCCTCACGATAATCGATTAGGACGACTTTCAGTGCACCGAATCGAAGCGTATACTTCGATACAGAAACGCTTTGTTATTTCTCTACCGACACCATTTATCCGTGTGTAATGTGATTAATCAATTCACCATGGTTATCGGTCTTTTGTTTTAAAATCAATTCAAATGAATGCATCGGAGGTTTAACCAACTGTTGATTTCGCTTTGCGCGCACATAGTTAGTCAAAACATCCTTTGGTATGGGTTTGTGCATATGAATGTTTGTACGTATTTTGTCCTATGTAAATGTCTGTTCGTTTTACGCACCCCTTTAAGTACCACAGCTTTCAGCATGATTTTAATAGGTCGGGGTACGTATAAGCGTACATGGGTCTGCACGCAAATACATATACAGAAGTATACATCCACACTGCAGACCGGTTGAACAAAGATGTAGATAGATAGAGAGAAAAAACTGTTCGGTTTGATTGTTTACTCTCAATAAAGCATTACAATCAAACGTATTCTCTTTATGCCCAACTGTACACAGGACCACGTGCGAACACAGAGAGTTTTGTACAACTCACTACGGTGATGGCGTCTGTCAGTCAGAATGTGCCGATTCCGTTTGTGGATTCGATGGTGGTGATTGTCTGCACGCTCCGCTACCAACCGACCCACTGGTTCTCAGCTCATCCATTCCCCCCACCACGCTGCAACCGACGCCGGCGGCGCAGCGGGAACCAATTCTGTTTCTGGCCGTATTGAATACCACAACGTCACAATTCACACTGCATCGGTCTCATTTTCTGTCCACAGTCGGAATACTTGTTCGTGGTATTACTCGAGTATGGAAAAATCCTCGAACCGGGTCGGAGCTTGTCCTCAATCTGGCGTCTGAAAGAGAAATGAAGGTCAGTAAAATGCCGTTTTCGGTAGAATAATGATAGAGAATTTCTGTTTTCACAAAATGCATACACTTTTGTTTTTTATGCTACATAAAGAGGTTTGCGCATGTACGCACTTTCAGGAGGGAATATTTCAGTCAACCAGTCAAAATAAAAAGCCCTTGCGCCAATATGGCAGACAAGATTTACAACATCAACGTTCATCAAGGATCTTTCGGAAACTAATCCGTTCCGGTAGCAATGTGGGCCAAGAAAATACCTATGTTCCACGAAGCATTTACGATAAGGTGAAATAGAGTATAGTTATTCGGGTCAGAAATTACTCTCAAGATTTATCCACAACATATAGTGGTAAGCCTGAGAATAATATACGAAGACAGAGTAATTAGAAAAATTACCTGGGTCATAAAAGAAAGATCTTCTTTTGGCTTGCACCAAACTGCTTCAGCCTACTGATTTGAGAACTAAACTACAGAGCGCTCATAATCGCTGAGCACTATTCCATCTAATAGATATATATCACCTTTTTCGAAAGCTTCTTAAACACTATTTTGAGAAGTTACCCGATTACTTCAAGGATCTTGGATGTTTATCGAATTCCATGTATAAGAAACGGAAGTTGAGGTTGTGGAGTGATAATGAAGCAGTATTATTAACTAAGTAAAGGAAAGTCGGTTAGTAGCAGTATTGCATAGACTACCGACCCCTCCGGAAATCTCGGTTTTAAGCCTGATATAAACGAAGAAGAATAAATTTACATTTTCAAATTTCGTGGTGGTTGGGCAAGAATTAAATCACAGCCTTGATTATTCAATGTGTATCTACAATGAAAGCAAACCACGCCTTTCATGATGTGGCTTTAGCTCTCAAGTTAGAGTGCAATTTTCCCCAGCTGCGACTCCTGAATTTATCGGCGTAATAGATATCTGTTGGGTGAAATGGTGTTCCATGAAACACATGGCATATATTGCAAACGATAGATATGTGAGCACGCCCACAGGACAGCTATGACGAGGGTCATCCTTCAGTATACCGAAGTGATTTGATCGGAGATGCACAACAACAATGGATAAAGAAATAACGGTTGGTCTTGTCAACCAGTATGGATCAGTGATCATGACGAACGATCGCATCAGACATCGCAAACAGTTCCTATGTTCACTGTTCAAAACCAAACGTTAGCAGGTTCACTTTTTGGCTCAATTCCCCATTTTCATTTTTTCTTGTTTACCTAAATCACACGGTGGTATTAGATTATCCTTTTGAGACCAGACCACAGAATAACGACTCACTTCGTCAGTGTGAGCCATACGACTTGTATATGCGCATATCTGTGTGGTTTCCCTGAAGTAAACTAACCAAACCTCCACTATTCATTTGGCAGCTCGTTTTAGCCATTTGGCTGTGTCCGCCGTCGCCAAATTGGACGGAATGTACCAATCCATTCGTTCGGCAAACTCCTAGAGCTGTGGCTGAATTTATCCAGACCGCCTTTGCACTCGATCAGACAAAACAAAAAACAGGTGATTCGAAGAAAATCATTCGAATGAAACGTTTAGCCCCGATCGAGGATAGCGGTCAGTTGGATTTCACGATTGGTACGGAACCCTCATGGTCTGGATTTCTACGGTCCAAAGAAGCGATCGGCATCTATGTTTGTCTATGCGTATTAGCCGGAAGTATGTTCTTAGGAAAAGAGTCGTTTATGCATCTGATACAAATGTAGATAACAATTATTATCCTTTGTGTTTGTATAGGTTCATGAGTTTTGTTCTCCCATATACCGTAAAACTAACTTGTTTCACTGACAAGAAAGCTAACATTGAAATTCGTAGAACCTGAAACTGAAACTGAACTTAGTGGTTCCTTCAAGAACCTCATATTTTGCTGTGGGGAAAATTAACTGGTAATGGTGCATTGGATCTTATTTATTATTCAGATATCTACAGAGAGGCTGTTCCCATTGACGTCCCTATCAGTTATTCGTAGACTTCACCATCGATTGTGAAGTACGTTTACAAGCATATTCCCACGACCTTGCTAGTGACAGCTAAAGAACGCTAAACTCAAAAAATAATCTTTCATATAGCCGAAAAAGATAGTGGTCCTGGACCGTGTTCAGAACATTAAAAATACTGCAGCAAAGACACACTAGAAAGGAAAGAATAATGACACCTATAAGAGAAGGCGTTGGAAGAAGTCACGTCGTCACAGAGAGCTGAACTGGAATGACTGCTCTCCAAATAGCAGCACAACCCTCCTTTTCCCTGATATTTAAACGGTGAACTGAGCTGAAAACAACAAGAAAAAAGACAAAAACGTCGTTGAAGAATAATCTATATAAGAGAATGGGTAGAAGTGGAACAACACCATCCCTTACACATTGGATGTGTTACCTTGGCTGGGGCTGAAGCGCTTGCAAACAAATTGCCAAGCTCGGCGGATAATTCATCCCTCCTGTTCTACGAAAATCGGTTGGATGCCGTTTTACCTCGTCGTGCTGTTGGAACTTAGATAAATAACCTCGCGTGTTTTTGTTTGATGAGTCTGTAAACAATGCTGATTTAATGAAACGTTGCGAACGAAATGACGTGTTACTTTCGGGAATTGATTGCTTAACTCTAATGACCTGGAGCTAGGTTTAACGAATGTCTGCCAAGCTAGAGATGAACCAAAATCAAACAGCCTATTTTACTTCCTGCAGTCCGGAGTAGAAAAAACTAGCAAGTTTTTTCAGTGCTAGAGCTCACTGTTACCTGGTAAACTTTAGCGATTGTCTCAGATCATCTTAATTTCACCTACGGATTGCCGAACATGTTTGTTAGTTGGCATACGTAGAAGTCTACTTTAATTACACATTGAATGACATCATTTATGCATCATCAATGTTTTTTATTGTCGAATTATTTGTGACGAGTTATCTGCTAAGGAAAGGAGACAGTGAACCTCACCCACTGCGTCAAATTGTAACCGAACACTCATTTCTTCAAGAATTTGCGCTGGACGCTAATGCTGTTGCTGGTGTGTTCTCTGAGCTGGGAACAACACTTCCAACTCGGAGAACAAATCAAAACTAGCACTCATTTATTTAATACCTGTACTAAGTAATAAATTAACTTTTGCAACTTTTCCTAATTGCCAGTTATCATAATCCTCGTGATATTCCTCGTTCTGCAACGAGATCCATGGCATAAACCGGCCAAGCGTGTGTATACCACCGGCGTCTGGTGTCCACCGGTACCGATGGGACTCAAGCAGGAGTCACGACAATTGGGTCACGTAACTGGGTTCCTGCAGTCGGACCCCCAAGACCCAGCCACATCGTATAAGCAGCACGAATCCTTGCTCAACTCTTTCACAAGAGAACTACAGAGCATGGAAATGCAGAATAAAAGTGAAACCTATGTGACCGGAGATGGTGTTGAACGGACAGATGCAGGCATCACACTCGACTTGAATACCTTTGACAAAAGGACAAAGGTCGGTCAACCTTTACCAACTTGTGTATCATTGTACTATCAAAATCATTAAAGAACGCCTTCTAATTTATTTGAAGATATTCACTGAGACACTGGGTATCAAAAGCTAGTCACTCTAATCGTAATAGTAAGCTTATTCGCCTCTATTTACGGGTCAAGCTGTTTTCAAAATTGATTTCACAATCAAATTCAGCCTCATTTATTATTTGACAACGAATCCAAAATCTGATTCAGTTTCCATTTGCGTTATCGAAGGTGATAAAACTGGATTGTGCAGACTGTGCAAGTTACCCATTTATTGAATGCTATTTAGGAGGTATTTTTAGTACTCAAGAATAAGGTAAATATAAAATTGTTTTCTGTCTCTAATGCAAAATCTAATCAATATCATGTGAAATTGAACTCAGCAATAAAGTCGCGGATTTCGGCATTGGTCATAGTTGACTTCGATTTGTGGCACTCAGAATCTCCATTTTCAATAGAACATAGTTATGTAGGAATGAGTTTTTTGTAACTGGGATTAAACCTGACTCGACGAAAAGAGTTCCTTTTGTATATATTTTCTGCAAATGGTTATAGCCCAAGTAAAATACTAGGAGATGAACAAATGCTTTGATTGAAATAAGTAAAACCTGATTTAGTGGAATGCTTTGGATCGAAGGTAACAGATGGAATACCGTATCTCACTTCGAAACTGTTCGGTGGCAGAGGTGGAGTACTTTCGAATGTAATATCTGAAGATACTTTACTGGGAAATTCTGTTCAACATTAGTGTGAAGTGAAAAGTGAAAAGGAACCACACATATATAATCTAACGGGTCTAAAAAACAAAGCCCGGACTCGATGGTGGATATATACAACTGATTAGCTGCAGTACTCTAGTGCTTTCTGAACACATGTTTGATCGAAGATAATCAGTTCTGTGCCCAAAGACATTGCTAAAATATGGAAATTAGTCAAGAAAAGAGTCAAAATATTGATGAATTTTGTCATAAAAGTGATTAAATTTCGTGAAGAAGTTCATCGACTGCTCTTTCCTTCTATTTAATATCTGAAGGTTTCTGAAAACCGTTTGAAGCGGAAGTATTTTGAGGCCGATTTGCTATTATCAGGTGAGGCGTTTGGGGATTCCATTGAGCCTCCGCGTAAATCTGCGTGCACGAATCACGTGAGTCAAAATATGCTCGAGGAAAGTTGATTTAAATATTCACTTCCAACATTTATATCACTTCAGTTCATATAATCGTCTATCTTACGCTTAGGTACTGCGGTTCCTCTGTTGTCCTTCGAATATCCTTTAAGGTGAAGTATTTGAGGAACGATTTCAAAAAGTTTTAAAATGTGCCAGGGTAAAGATACTGAATATAATTGCAGCAAACACCTTTCAAGAAAAAAGCGATAGCATATCGTGCGGTCGGTTGAATTATATGCCACTCTTAGATCAAGGGATTTAAACGTACATATTTACATCTCACACACGTCTGACGCCAGACCGTGTGTCAAACAAATCATGGTACAATAATGTTTATGAGAACAAAAACGCTCCATGGTTTGTATATGAGAGGGATGCCGGTTGTCCAGACCAAGGCAGGTGAGTTTTCTTGAGGAATCCACAACCGGAGGCCTTGGCTACCCGAAGCCTAGCCCTCAAGGCAGCGGGGCGGTGTGTAAAAACCGCGTCCAGTTCATCGGATCATACGCCCTTTGACGGGGCCAAACATCCGAGGTACAAAAATACACATTGATGCCCGATTGAGCTGGTGACCACTGCCACAACCGGGAAGGTGTGATTTTGGTTCGTCCGCCTCCTCTTGGTTTGTTTGTAATCGAGGTCTTCGGCCAACTCACCTAGGTGAACTACCAGTGGTCCACCAACCCAGTTATAGCTCCGGATGTCGGATATGCCTCCTCTCACCTTGATGGGAAAACACCGCCACGAGAAGGCAGTAAGTAGGGCTTCCTCAGCAAAGGTTATTTGAGATACTTAGTCGTATGGCAGCCTTTCACGATATATAAGGGAAGGGTGACTATCCGAAACCCTAGACACCCACCCCCGACCATACTGAGGCTTTCGGAGGCGGATATTTATCCCCTGAGTAATCTTCTGTGATATAGAAGTTATCGGCCTGCTGAAGGAACATCTGTCTTCTGGACTTGGTGAACAATGAAAATATGGTCAATGAATCCTTGACTTATTCAAATACCACCTTGGTTCTCGCGTGTGCGCCGTTCTTGTGCAGTAGACAGTCGATGGAGTATGACACAAACAAGTAGCTTTGAGGTACTGTCAACCCCAGGGGCAGCCGTCTCCGTCTCATTTCACTTTGGTGTTTACCATTTCTCGTGGTCAGCTCTTGATGAGCTGGTATTCAAGGGCTTTGCGGTGCCACATTTTTCATCTGGTGGAATGGTTTTATGAGCGCCAACAGAGCATCAGAGGTAGAGGAAGGTCAAGTGTTTGTGCTCTGCTCATTGTTTTGAAATAAGTTTGAACCGTTTTTATCATATTCAAATCGGCGTAAAGCCCTTCTATGAGCATTTGAACTGAGAGCCGATGAGGACACCGAGCTTTGAAATCAATGTTACATTGGTCATTTACATTGAAACTTTTGCATTTGTGATTAGTTTATTTATCAAACGCAAGCTGAATCTGGTTTATTCCATAGTGTGTTCGTGTCCACAGAGGTAAATGAATGTGAGTGGCAGTCTTCAATACATAAGCCCCGATGGTACTGTGCTTATTTTGAGTCCATCGTTGGGAAGAATTTGGAGGTTCACATGTAAGGCGAGGTCTGTTCTGTGCGAGAAGTTAGTGTTTAATAGACATAAACCGAAGTCTTAACAGAACTGATGTGAGGGATCCCGGTTGTCCATAGCTTGAATAGGGTTGCACGTGGTCCACCCAGACATGTTTGTTCCTCGTCCGATGACCCAATTGAACACCAGATACGAAGGCCGTTGAGCTCTTTGCAGCAATTCAGAAGTTAGGAATTCAGTTCACCCGAGTTACGAGAACGCAATTCAAATAAGTTAACGTCTCATCTTCATCTCAAGTGAACTTCGATCGATTGATGCATGCACGGACTTGAGGTCTAAGCGGAGATAGTTGGACCTCCTACTATTGACTCGCATCAAAACATTAGATGGTGCCGTTGATTAGTCGACTTCTGAATGGGATCTAATTATGGAAGGTGCACTCAGAACTTAGCGCTAGCTCGATTCTACTAACACCGCGAGGACTAGAGATCAAACTGTCTGACATACGGAGGATGGAACTTGAGCACGAGGTTGGATCTAAGAGACGTACATTGATAACTGAAATAGGCTCCTTCATGGGTGTTTCAGAGGCACATGTTTTTCAAAGGTTTAGCCAAGGCAGCTTGTCGATTTAATGCGGTTAGACGAATAGAGCATCTTGTTTCGGTTGTCAATGGTCATCAAAATTGACTGCATGGAAGATAACCATAAATGACACTAGCAGTAATAATAATAACAATAATAATAAAAGCAGTAATAATAATAATAACATTAAGACGGATTTCTTCACTTTGTATCCTGCCAAATATAAATGCGGTTGAAACATCGTGCCCACATCCTTGTTTTCACATTACGATTCGGTGCGCTAAAATAATAACCTGATTCCGGATAACACGTAATTTCTGCAATATCTAAATCTTGCAGTTAGAATTTGGTTTCAAATATTTGAATTTTCATGTTTACTAAATCTCCCAAATGAATACAGATACAAAAAGAGCTACACTTTCTAAAAATATCGACTGCACACATTCAACGGAAAATGGGTGGACGTTAAAAAACGAATAATGTTCCATGTACTTGCTAATATATCACGTTTTATTTTGTTCCTTTTTTATGAACTCCAAATAATGTGAGAATGACACTCCTTCATCAGCACTATGAAGCAGTTAGGATGACGAAATAATACATAGGCTTATGAGAATCGTTCTTACAATTAATCGAAATTAATAATAAGGTGTATTAATCTTTTGAAATACAATTGTGGTACTGTCTGCCCTCAACGAAGTAAATGCTTTATATTCTTTCTCTCTCTGTTCAGAAAATGGTACATCCAAGTCTCATGATAAGGAAGAAGGAATCAAATGATGGTTTAAAACTGAAAAATGAATATCGCCAAATACATAACGATCTCACATCTGTACCCAATCATCAATCAGATTGTTCTGTGGATACGCGCAACCGGTTAATTCAAGTTCTCGAATCTCAAGATGGATTGCATCCGTTGAACGTGCAAGATATCACTATGGTTCAAGGACTGATGCAGGTACATACACGAGAAATTCGAGAAAACCCTGATGAATATGGATTTGCACTTAATACGGAACGAAAAACCGGGTACAGTCCGCCGGGACATAATGGAACAAGCCAATTACGAAATAAAACTGCTCTGTATGCAATGCAAAGGTTGTTCCCGCCAGAATTGATTGATAACAGTACGCCAAACCACGAGTCTGTTCTACATGTGGCAGGTCGAATGAACAGTGGCAAGGATTTTGTGCTATCCGTNTGCAACCCGATCACCTCGGTTATGCGGTCTCGATGCCAGACGGCGTTGGAAGAACCCCGTTGGTAACTGCAGCAGCAGCAAACTCATTGGAAACAGTCAGTGCATTATACCAGTTGGAGAAAGAGGCTGCAGCAAATAATAAAGTTCATTCAAATAAAAAATCAATTGAAGATGCTTCGACATTGACAGCTTCAACTGCAACAATTACAACCAAGTCACGCCGACGACAGAAACAATCAGAACCAAGGCAGACCACCGCTCTAATCAAAGCAGTTCAAAATGGAAACGAAGAGACTGTACTCTATCTGATCGATGAGGGTCATCAAGTGAATGGTGTGGACGAATTCGGTCGAAATGTGGTCCATTGGGCAGCTGCCACTAACTCTGTGTCTCTTTTACAACGTTTGGTACAATGCAAGGGATTCAATCGGCTGGTTAATGCACGTGACGAATTCGACCACACACCACTGATGCTTGCTACACGTGAAGGTTGGGAGGAGGCAGTTCGATTTCTATTGGAGCACAAGGCTAGTGTACTTCCTACAGATTGTGCGGAGAATGATCCTTTAAAAATTGCCCAAAGTAAAGGATTCACAACCATTGAAAGTCTACTCCTGAAGTATTACAATCCCGAAGGTTGTACGATCAGTGGTCAGACGGAATCAGGCTCAAAAGGCAAGTACCACGAGTCTCCATTTGCCAAAGGCACAGGATCCCCCAGTGAAACTTCAGACTTTGATACTCAGAGTATTGAGGCTGACTCTGAAGACGTGGAGCCGATTTCCTCTGTTCTCTTGAAGCATCAATCAAACCCATGGCATCCAACAAAAATTGAAGATAGAGCCCGGCTTCGCTGCAATATCGAGCCCACCAATGTATCTTTGCGACCAAGTAGGGAATTTATACAGCTCATAAATCCCATGGTTGGTTCAGATCCCCCAGTCGAGGGTACTAAGCATTCGTGAAATACAAAAGTTTGACTGACACATTCATCAGAGTGAAATCGTTTTCGAGTAATTTTGCATTTATATTTTACTTATATTTTTGAGACAACTGCAGCTACACCGGGGTATAGAAAACATTCGTGAAAGACGACTGAAGCTATTTTTTGCCCCGTAATTTTTCCAAGTTTTCACTCCTATAACGCTAATGTTTATAAATACTCGTCGTGTACAGGAAAAAACACCATCTCGCAAACTTGAACACTTATGGATGTATGAATGGATGCACCTCCTCATTGCACATGTACATAAGGTTTCCTATCTGATATATCCCTGACCACCGCGTCGCCGCAGTGAATCATTCCAAATCAACAGTGTTCTTGTTGAACGTAATCCATTTCATTCTTTTATCGTACCTTGTTCTGTGACTCCCCTCCCCCCCCCCCCCCCCCCCCCCAAGCCACATCATCTTGTACCACCTACTCATTCCTGCACCACAACCGTCACGTTGACCAAAACCCTTTTATCTGTGAGTGAATGTGATTTCTTTGCGTGAAATAAATCGAAGGGTGCGAGCTCTTTCTATCTGTATACATATATACGACATCAAAATAACCATGGGTTAGAGGCAGAACATAGAAAAACAAGCGGGAGAAAACAAAAACAGTCAACTTTGGGGATAACATTTTAGCTTTTCTACTGCAAGCCATTCTAAACAAGTGTTTAGGTAATGCGTACATTTTTATGAAACGATTGGATGGTTGCGGAACCGTGTCTCACGTCTCTTAGTTAAATCAATTTCGAAAATTGGAAAACTGAATAGAGGACGACTGATCTTTATTGAGGGACACTTATTGATGCACATGTGATATTATTTCACCCGAAAATATATTGTAATGTCGGGAACTGTCAGCCACACAGGATTGTTCTCTCGCAGTTCACAACACAGAAGGTGTTGTTCAAACTCGTGATCCACGACCTTCAATTTCAAAGTTTATTTCAGTTTCTAATACCATACGTTGAGCATTGAGATAAACAGATTTGGAGCAAGCCATGGTGCTGCCCGATTTCGATCAATAACCATATCTATCCGACTCGCTTTATTGATTGAGGGCTTTACGTTTTCTCGTCATATCCATGCTAGCAAAAGTGCTTTTCCAGAGTGCAAAATGTCACGTTTCTTCGCTCTTTTCCTGACTGAACGAGAGACTTTATACATCAACACTTTTCGAACACTTAACCCTTATTACGCATTACACTATTCTTACCTCAACTGACGCGTGTAACCCACTATTCCCCAGTATGCACCCAACGAAAATTAGAAGTTACAACACTTTTCACATGTAACTATGCGCCTAGGCTCAAGGTATCAGCTCTGATTATACACCTGAACCCTATAATGCAGCCAATTATACCGAATCTATCGAGTAAATTGTCAATAAATAAAAATAATAAATTGAAAGAAATAAAAAGCTGTACAAAAAAGTATTCGCGAATCGTCATCCTCGTAGTTTTTGCACGAAACGTGGAATTATTTCCTTCGCATCTTGGTGGTTGAATCCCAAGAAATTATGTTTATGCACGGCAGTTGGAAAATAACAATAACGTTCAAATTAATTTTAACGTTATGATTCTACGATTTCACATCAAGTGGTATTGAATCTTATAATCATATGGAATAATCAAAATCCATCAATAATTAATTAGTTATACCAAATTATGATGATGATATGATTACTCATAATTTGAACCATGTAATATATACTACATATAAGTATACGTGCTTTCGTTGGAATTCTGTCTAGTTGCCTATCATGGTGTCCGTAATGTATAAGTCTTTTTGCTTCTTTTTTATTTGATGAATATACAAATGTACCGTCAACATTCAGGATGGGGGATTCAGCCAATACTTGCGGTGAAGGTGTTGAGCGTAAGATTGAAAGTTTTGCACGCTCTGACTTACACAGAATAACGAAATTACTGGTTAAAGAATGAACTTTAATAAATGAACATTACTCTGTCACAGAACGCTTCCCATGAACTAAGCCATCAACCAAAAATCTTTAGATACTTTTCCGTTACATACGGTTTCATTACTTACCAGAGCAAGGCTCACTGGTCTGAGCGGCACTATGTTCTTCAGCCGAAATACAGTCATGAAAATCCCCATCAATTAGTTACAAAGTAGGATGTGGACCCAAATTCGATTATAATTATGTGATAATCTTACTGAGCATCGAGTTGTTTGTATTTGTTGACTTTTTCATGTATTGAAACCTCAGGTTACAGTCGAGAACACTCATTCGACCAGTAACCCGGCAATTGACGAAAATTTTTTTGTTTTCGCTTCTCCGACGAGGCAGTTTAACGATAACAGGACGACATTTTGGCACATCAAAAATAATTAGGTACAAGCTGGTGGACGTTAACTGTTTAATCCCCCCCCCATGACAAGATTATGCAATTATAAATCATCTACTCGTGAGTAGTAGATGATGAAATATCCTCAAAACGTTGATCAAAAGGTGTGGTATAAACGCAAAAAATGTTATATTCACAATAGGTAAATGCAAAAATGATAAATATCAAAATTAACATCAGTAATAAATCAAAAAGATCTCAACAAATACTAACTAACAAGGACATTTTTTTCATGCGACCAGTTCCCTTTACCATTTTCACGAGAGCATGAAGAAGTATCATGAAAGGATACATCTGTTTGATAGATCCCAGAACTTTTTAAAGGTTATGCGCCCGCACACAAATATCCTTCGGGAGGTAAACCACCATCCTAGAGGGACTCTACATAGGCCAAACCTTCAATCCGGTGAAGCGTTGTGTGCATGTTGGAAGGGCCAAACCTGACATCCAGGTCACAAATGAAGATTAGTGCCCAAATCGAATTATATATAGGACCCAGGAAAATCGTAACCATTATTTATTGTGACAGAAAAAACCTAAATAATTTTTAAAAGGTTGCTTGTGATCCAAAGTTGCCTTGAATTAAACTATGGGGGGTGGGGTGAACATAAGCAATCAACGTCTGCACCAGTATGAACTATTCAGTTGGATTCATCGATCTTACCACCGAAATGCACACTTATAACGTGGAAGCCTTCTGCAGTCGAATCACAAAGACTAAAACATCGTTCACGGATCCGTGGGTGATATGACATCGGAAAATCTTGATGAGGTCCGACATAATTTAGGGTTCTATTTTTCGTATGAGACACTTACGGCTAACCTTTAAAACGTTCCGGGGTGTATCAAACAGATATTTACTTTCATGGTGCTTCTTCTTGCTCTCGTGAAGATGTTAAAGGGAACTGGTAGCATGGAAGAAAATTCCTTGTTAGTGAGTATTTTTCGCCACCTTTTACTTGTTGGAGATGTCATTTTGTAATTTATGATTTTTGTATTTCGTGTTTTTGTTTTTTTACTTCCTCTTTTCCTCATTGTAGATACAGATGTACAGTCAACATTCAGGAAGGGAGGCCGCGGCAATACGATTATAACATTATACCTTCCATCTGGCTTTTGAAAGTTTCTCCCACAATACATGTTAGTACTTATTAGTTCTCAGGCGGTTCTGTATCACTCACTCCCCCGTCAAAGCTTTGTGCTCGATGCGGTTGCGATACCATCCTCCGTTGGCACCTCATTATTCCGCCACCACCACCAAGCTTTCACTGTTCTTGATTGGTTCTACAGTCTTGCCTGGTTTAAGGCGATCGAAATACGCCACGAATGCTCGTTCTGGTTTGTTGACCGGGGAGCTGTAACGGATACAATCCGAAACAATCTCCTGTACTGACGCTATTTTGCATTGTAAACTCCATTCCCTTTTCATTTGTAAAGGCACTATTTTCATTGATGGCCTTCAATCACGAGATCTCATACGACCTCGGATATGACACGATTTCCGATGAATCATCTCGTGCGCTTAGACTCTGCAAATCACGACAATGCAGATTATATACAACTGCCGACGCTTGTCATCGTGTAGTATTTGGAATAGTATTCGAAATGGGATTCCAGAATTCGAGCAATACCAATCCCCGAAATAGAACAACTTCGAATCGAATAGCACACCAACTTTATTCGAATCGTATACTATGCATGTTCAATGCATTTAAAGTGTACAAGGAATTTCGAGGACTGTGTCACACATCACAGAATTTCCGCGGATTGAGTATAATAGACCGAATAGCCATGGCTTTATTGACCACTGCTACAAATCTGACCATATTAAGGTGCTCCAGAGAATTACTGGGAAAACCTTTGATCAAGTCAAGTCAAGTCAAGCCTAGGAATGGCTTTATACACCCCGAGAGGTGGATATTCAGCAACCACATAATCATAGTGTGTCAAAAAATACGTAAAACACAATAGTATGATACAGCAGTTAAAAGGATGTGAAAAGGAACAGCAACAAATAAAATGAGTGACACACCTG